GTCGGATTATTAAAACTTTTCCTTGTTTTTTTTTTTTTTTTTTTTTTTTTTACGAGGGCGCCCAAGGTATTAATAAGAATTGGCCAATTTAAAATTGTTTTGAAATTCGTTTAGATATGTATTTTATTTGTTCGTTTGTGAAGTTTGAAATTTTTTTCATATTATGAAATAAAATAATTCGCTGTATACAGTTCCCTTTTAATTTCTTACAAATAATTGTCACTCTACGTAAACCGATAACTTGATAATATCGTTAGAATTAATCTCTACGAGAATTTTTCAGATTTACACAATTTACAAACCATTTATATCACTCCTCTCGATGTAAAACGTCTCTCGACTGCTCGGGACGAGTTCGAATTAAAATCATATCGAGGAAAAGGAGGAAAGCCATCGAACAATGCCGTTTAATTTTCGAAAAAATGTTGGACGCTATGCAAGTTATGAACCATCTCCGCGACGAAGAATTTATCAAATCGTCGAAACTCTCTGTTCCACTATCCGCGAGAAGGTGGGAGAAAAAAGTAGAAGAAGAAGAAGAAGAAGAAGAAGAAAGGAGACGAGGAATGTCCGCAAACAATGGAATTCTACTCGGTGAAAAATTTCCACCGTGTCGCTCTGATCCTGTCAAATTACACCACCCGGTTGCCCGCCCCTGTCATATTTCGTAATATCACGGAATCTCGAGGAGAGAGCCGGTAGGACACGGTGGTGGCTCGGTAAATCGTTTTTCGAATGGAAAAAGGAAAAACTTGTTCGAGATGGAAGGATCCGAGGGAACGTGTTTTCGTTAACGAACATCATCCGACGAGCTGCAACTTGTAGTTCACGCTTGTTGAATTATTATTATTCGCGAGTTTGCAGGGTAAGATGCTTCTCGAATCAGGCTAACAGGGAGAGATATTAAAACATACTGCGATATCCAAGCGTACACGTAAAGAATAGACATCCGTTCAAATATAAAACAGAATCTGTGATAATGCAGAAATTTAATAATAAAACTATTTCGAGTAATTACTTAATTAAAATCCTCGAATTCATAATTGATCGTTTGCCACTACGATTATTTGAAACAATTCATCGAAGTAACTTTATTCTCGTAACTTTATTAAATATTTTCACCCATCACTATGTTTATTACGCGCTTATACAATATAGATGTAGAGAAAACCTCTTCCCTCTTTTTCTCGTCACAAATGAAGTCTGGGTACAGTGTCGACTGGCGCCATCTGCACGCGTACAAAAGGATTCGCCCGACATTCGAGCTTTTCGCCCAAGAGCACCACCATAACTTCCTTCTCTCTCCGTTGAGCCAGTCGTCACCATAAATGAGTCACAGTTTCAGGTGAAAAACGATCTCTTTCTTTCCCTTCCTCGAATCAAAGATTTGGCTGACAATGGTTCTTGTAAACGGACGTAGGCTGCGAGTGACAAGCTGTTTCGCGCTACAAAGCTGGTAACGGTTTATCAGTTAAGGCTGTCCTTCGGTGTTTCTTTGTTCCTCGCGATTGGGCAAGGATTGAACCCGACTTTTGTCAAATCTTTTTCGGCGTGAGAACGCTTGTGGGACGAACGTGTGGCCGGTGATAAGGGATAACAAAGGAAGCGTTAAAAATTGCGCTCCTTCTTTCTAATATAACCTAGTTATACTGCAAACACTTTCCATTTCATTTTTCGACGAGTTTTTATTCAATCTCTCGAAGATTCTAGCAAAAGATTCAAGCCACTAAATAAGCTTGAATATATTTCGTGATCATCGGTGAACAGTTTCGAGACAGAAAGACTCTATAACCTTCTATAACCGCGCGAGTCACTTTTGCTCGAGTTTGTTTTTATTTTGCCGGGTCGCCGCCTCTCTAAAGAAAGGAAAGGAAAGCATCGGTTTCGAGAGAGACCAAGAACGGTTGTTTTCGCTCGAGGTGTCCCCGAAAGGTGTAGTGGTGGGACCCGCTGCGGCGGCAACAAGGAACAAAAGGGAGGGGGGAGGGAGAAGGAAAGGTAGAAATCGGACGATGGGGCGGGAGAAGGCGGTCGCAGAGAGAACGAGAGAATTTAATTTCTCGGTAACATTACACCTTAGGAGCCTTATTCCACCGGCTTTGTGTGCCTCCAGGGGTGGCGCAGAGAGACACTCGATCGCAGGACTCCATTTGCGGTTTAGCATAATGGAAATCCAACGCGCCCTCGGGGCCAACGCTACTCTCTTCCTCCTCCCCTCCCCTCCATCCTTCCAGCGTTGTCGCCACGGCTCCGTCTTTCGTGGAAAAATAATAAGTCCGGGCAAACGCTTGATCCGTGCCCCTGAACCTTGATGTACGTGGCCCGTCCCGATGCATCAAGAGTGAAATTTAAGAAGAGAGTTATTTTTGCTTGCTCTGGGGTCCAACGAAGGGTTCTTTTTTTTTTTTTTTGTTGGAAATTATTTTGTATTGGAGAATTTCGTTATCTTTGTGAACCCTTCTTCTTTTTTTTTTTTCGTTCTATTATATCGAAAATCGAAGGGAAAATCGATGTATGAGGTAGCGTTTGGAATGAAGTGTGAATGAAAGTCTGATAATCAAGTTTGGAGAAATTAATTAATTAAAAATGTAAAAAGATTTAATAATAATAATAATAATAATAATATTGTTTTTGCTAGAATTTTGATTACCTATTGAAATAATATTAATTCGAGAATTCGAGTCGAAAATATATCCACGATCATCGAGCAAACGAGTATATAGTACATCCTATATAATGCATACGATTTCCTCGAAAAAGAAGTGTCGAAGAAGTATAGAAAATTGTCATTCCACATTACTTTTGCACGAATCGTTCTTATTTTACATATTAATTCGAATTAAAAATGGTAGCCGAATTTCAACGGTTCGAAAACCACCGACGATAGCTGGTGAGATTTTTTCATTGGGTCACTTTCCATCCGGTATTCGTCACGGCCACGACCCCCTCGATCTTGGTCGGAGGTCGGGTATTTTTAACTCGTCATTAAGGGTCATTAAGCTCGGGCCACGAGGAGGAAGGTCGACGGTGACCCTCCAAGCCAATTGCGGCTTCGTCGCTGTTAAAATTAAAATATCGTCCCTAACGAGTTATAAAGGAGAGGGAGGCGAGTCTGAATTTTCATGATCATTTCTTGGGAAGGAAGTTTGATAAATGTAAAAATTCTGTAACGTGTGAAACCTAATTCAAACTTAAGTATCTATCGTAAATTTCACTTTAAATAAATTGTATTTTTGCGTACAAAGATGAAACTGAAACTGAGACCAATGATTAGAAATAATTATCAATATTTGTCAATATAAATAAACAACAAATAATTAAGTTTGTTACAACATACGTGTTATCGTTTCAATGAATCCCATTTAAGCTATACATTTGTATCGTAAAACCTCGATTACGTTTGAAATATATTTAAGCCTAAACTGGTTGAGAAACACTGTGTTCCATCAAAGGAAACGCAGCAAAACATTCAATCCCCTTCGAGGTCGGTATTTCAGTTAGCAGAGGCAAGAAACTTCATAACATGTTAGGTTAACTTCACGAGTTCCTCCACATGTTCGTATAGGCGAAACGACTTTATCGATCGAGCGGAAAGAGAATACTTTTCTCTCTCTCTCTCTTTCGACATTTCCATGGAGAAACTAGGGATACAACGGTCGCGTTCGTTTATCGGCGACGATTGCCACGATCCTTCTGCTTGGCCGAGGTAACAAATTTTGACGCCTTAATGAACGCCGGATTAAATGTTCCTAGGCTCATTAACCTGGCGGATCATGGCGCGCGGAAAGCGAAGAAAAAGAGGCGGGCCACGTGAAAAAGAATTACACGGGTAATCACTTTCAAGCCTGGATAATTGCAATCGACGAACAAAGGGTCAACCTTTGGTCCTCGAGAAAGTATATATACATATATAGCGAATAATACATGTTGAAATATACGTTCCAAGTAACAGAAATTTACAAAAAATTTGAAAATAATAAAAAAAAATAAATATAACTTTTAAACAGACGACTTAAAAAAAAAAAGAGAGAGAAAGAAAAAAGATAGAGAATACTTTTATCCAACTATATTTCCAAATCGTTTATACCACGTTTCATTTCCAGATACACCTTAGATCCGCTTAACGAGTCACTCGACGACAACATTTCTCATCTTTTTTTCCCCCCTCTTTTTTTCAGGGAGGCTGTGATGAGGGAAGCCGGTTAAAGGACCCTGTGTCGCGCAGGCGCCCGGGAGGGGGAGCACAGGAAAGATGCTGCCTTCCTCGAGAGCTTTATTAAGCCCGCTGCTGCTTCTAATCATCGCTGGAAGCACCGGTGCCTTCAGCTCCCGACAAGGAGGTAAGAGAACTCCCTTCGAGGATGTTTTGCCCCGAAAGCGGGGCACCTGCCAACGACGACAACGAGGAGGGCCAACGAGTCGCAGGGCGACGTCCTCCCCTCCCCTCCCCCCTCACCAATTTTCCCAAAGTTTTCCCGGCCCTTAAATCCGGTTAAGTCGTTGACCGAGTTTCTCTCGGACGCCATTTTCTTCGTCGGGAACGAAGATCGAGAACCTGTTGGATGACGATCCCATTTACTCTTGTTTTTTTTTTTTTTAAATTATGTAAGCCGAGGGGGGGGGAAGGAGTACGGGCCAACTTTCGAGAATAACGACAGATTACGAGTCCCTGTTGCGTTGACCCTAGCCAACCATCCGTTATCTCTTTTCGCGATGATAACAATAATAATAAAACTTTGGCCAACGAAGTTTCGAAAAAACGCGGGAAAAACTCTTGACTTTTCAAACTCGTTCCAATAAATAAATTTGTTTGCCGTTTTCCCCTTTATTTTTAGCGTTTAACGAGGATTCGTTCATCAAATAAGATGTTTGCAACGATTAAACTACCGTTCGTAAACCGATCTATTAAGAATCGTGTATATTTGAAACCCATTCCATTATTATCAATTATTCGATCGAGTCGATCGAGTAATTTTATAATTATCCATCTATCTATCTAGAGAAGAAACATTGGAAAAATATTCGAAAGGTCGTATTTGTCGAGGCAAACTAGATTTTAATCCGCAGCCGGCTGTGCGTAAGGGAATCCGGCGGCGCATAACCGTTTCATAACCGATCCGCGAGACAACGGTTGGCTTAATGCAAACTGGCGCCGTTTCTCGGAATTACCGGGGCCTGCTTCTGAATTTACACGACCCTATTTCGGAAAAGCTTCGTACCCCCCTCCTCTCCTCCCCCTCTGACGAAGCGCACGCGCGCCTGACTCATCGTTTCCGCGTCGTTCCTCTCCTCTTCTCTCTTCTTCTTCTTCTTCTTCTTCTTCTCCTCCTCCTCCTCCTCTGCGCGAAACCAAACGGTCTCTCAGGTCGTTTGTCCGTGTCTCGCTTTGCTTACCCTCGCGTGGAGGACACCTCTTAGTGACCATTTCCTAGATTAAGGTCACCTGGAAAGCAAATAGTTGTTAGACGCAGCGAAGTGGGAGAGGGAGAGGAAAAGCGGGAGGAACATCCTTGGAAAACTATTTACTGGTGGGAATTTCTCCTCCCTTCATTCTTGATCCCTTTCAACACTGTCCCCATTATTTCTCTCGTTACAATTGTCATATTCTTGCCCGTTCCATCTCTCTCAGGCCGAACTTTTAATCCGTTTAATCCGCTAATGGCGCGGCAGTTTAATTATTATTGATCTGTACCACTCGCACGATCTGTTTTACCATCCTTTAACGACACGTTCGTCGATGACGAAAGGAGAAAGGAGGGGGAGGGGGGAGCGGGGAGGATAAAATTGAAGAAGTTGAAAAGAAGTTAAAACTCGGATAAATTCGAATAATTATTTATCGGGACGACAAATTGTATGTGAAGCGAGTTTGAGAAACAAGTGGAACAAAAGCGTCACGATCGGACAACTAGTAGTACGGGTCAATCATGGAGGACGGGATCTCTCCTTCGAGGATTGCGGGGTCTCGCAAAACAACGTGGAGAAAGATGCCACACATTTTTAGAAAATTACTCCCTTCCACTTCGTATCCCATAACAGTATCGAATATCCTTATCAGAGAGCACGTTCCTCGAGACAACTACTTAAACTACAATCTAAAAGCGAATCTAAACTCCGCGATGAGAACTTTTATATTGCGTTTTAGCTTTTCTCTCTCGAGCATCTATCCTCCTTAGCGCGAACGACGACCAAGGCTCTCCCCCCTTTTCCTTGGGAATAGTGGGGTAGAGGGGGGAGAATCGACCGGTGCACGCAACATCTACAGTCGGTAACGAAAGCATTAGAACGCTCGCATTTACCGTATTTGATGAACGAAATATACACGTTAATACTCGAGGCCTTTTTCGCTCGATTTTCACCGAATTCATTCGCATGAATTTCTTAGCTAACTTAAAATGATTTCACGCATAAATTAAAACGTATAAAACTTTTATATCTTACTAATTTACGTATCTTTGCATATGAAGAATGAAAATTTGCCTACATTGTTGTGATATTCGTGTGATATCTTAATAATAATGTAATCACCAAGATGCATCCTCAATTTGTCACGAATAAAATAAAGTATCGTTACGAAGCTTACAATCCCAACAACGTGCTCTCACATTCATTGTCTGCTATTCTTATACTACGTTTCTATTTTTATCACTATTTTCCTTCTCTCTTTCTTAACGAATAATTTCGTTGTTTAACTACGAAAAAAATCAAACTAGTCCTCGCTGTGTGTAGTTCGATCTATGATCACGGTCTAATTTCAGACAATAAAAAAACAATAAAAACCATTCGATAGCATATTATTCTACGCTTTACAAGAATACAGAGCTTAGGAATCTATTCGTGAAGCGATATTTTAAAAAAATCAAACATAAATAATTGTCGCCGTTCGAATTGAGAGTCACGTAAAGGAACTTATTTAAGATAACGAGAGGTGTATAGCAGAAGGAAATCTCAAGATTATATTTGTGCAATAGTTAGCAGATTTTTTTTAACATATATTTCGTTCATTCGTCACGAGATTTCATTTTCAAGAGCAGAGAAACGACTGGTATAACCCTTTAGACTTTGCCAGCCTGTTTGACCTATACCTTGAATCCAACGAAAAAAATCTACATCGAGGAGGAGGAATCGCGAGAATTAAGAATTAAGGCTTGAAGGTTGGTTTTCGACCGTTCGCTTCAAATTTTTTCCCCCTTTTCTTTTTCAAGCTCTGGGCTCGAAGCTTAACGGTTGATCGACTCCGATACTCGTATTACTCGTTTCCTCGAGTTCTTCCAAGAAGAGAGTTTCTGCGTTATATTGGCCATCTTATTCTACTTGATTGAATGTAACTGCGGGGCAGTTTTAAAACAATCATGGCGAGGGAAACGGATCAGCTGAAACAAACAGCACGACGAATTCCACTTCTTTCGTGTTTGTTGATAACTGTTTCTTTCTCTCTTTGGTTTTATCCCGGTGGAAGCAAGATTTCGTGAACCGAGATACATAAGTGATTATTACGAGAAATATTTGTTGTAATTGAAAATCAGCTGACGAGTCATCCCACTCGAAACAACGATTCGCTCAACGTGGTACTTATTCTTGTGGTACTTATTGTCGGTTCTATATTAGACACGTAGCTCGCAGACAGCGACGAATTCCTTGTTGGAATATATTTGGAATCGTTCGTCTCGAAAAGTATTTTACGTGATCGAGTCATTGCAATAATCGTAAGCAAATTTCTTGACGATTGATATGTATGTACGTTCTATCATTTTCTAAAATGTATGAACGTGAACGTTGAATAAGTATCTAAAAATAAGATCCAAAATCAGCATCTGTGAAATAGTGGAAACTATTGAAATGTAATATTGATTTAACCAGATGTATTCGATGGTTCTATATATCAAAATGAAAAAGGAGAGCATTTATGGAACAGTACTGGAATTTAATGCCAAACGTGTCTTTTTTGCGCATACGCGAAATTAATGGTCAAGAATCTGGCGAAACGAAATCCAAGAATCGAAATAAAAAATTTGGGGCTAATAGTAGGCGAGTGAAAAAGTTTTTCTATTTTGTTTTTTCTTTCTTTCCATTTTTTTTTCTTTTTTTTATTATTATTTTTGTATAAATCTATCGGACGATGCTGGAAAATAAATTCCCATTCAACGGTGGTTTCATGGGTGGTTGCTCGTTACGGCATTTTTGAGCGGTTGATGACTGTTAAATTACGCAACGAGAGACCGGCGATTGTTCAAAGTGGAACACGATGATAAATAAAATTCACGTTGCAAAATTATTTACTCTTTTTGAATCATTTTTTTTTCCTTTTTTTTTTTTTAGTTTTGGAAAAAAAAAAATTAAATTCTCTAATTGAATTGGAATACTGTAAGGGAGAATGACTAATCGAACACTTGTGTCGTTATCAATTTATCCAAATGGATAAACATTTCAGCTTTCGATTAATACGCGTCTGACTGCGGAATAATTTAAACTTCAAAGACAAATTTTATATATCGTTATTCGATTATTCCCTCTATAAAAGTACGTTTATTTGCTTTTATCGAATTTTTCTTGCCCGATTGACTGTCTTTCGTTTCAAAATATATTCACAACCGATCGTATGGCGTAAAATAATTCGAATTTTTTTTCAAATTAATGAGATTTATTTTAAAACCAATCGCGATACTTTACAATTGTGTTGCGATCAAAAATCGTATTTACTCGTTCGACGAACAATGCGCTTTCAAATTTTCTTCCACCTTATTATCTATCGAAACTTTTGATTAATCACGCGCAATTTACAACATATCATAACTACAAAAAGGCAAAACGAACTCTCGTATCTTCCTATATCTCTTATCGAAAAGATCAAATTCAACAAATTCTGTATCACTTTAAAAGCGTCGAACGACACACGAACGAAACAGCACAGCGAATTCGAGTCGTAAAACTCGATCCCTTTTGAAACGCAGCTTCTCGACGGCTAATCAACACCGCCGTTTAAATTCAATAGCTCGTGAAAAGGCTCGTGGACGAACTGTTTCGACTCGAGAGTGGGGAGGATTCTCGAACGCTCGACGAAAGAAACAGAAAAGTCGACCGGTCAACGCGTGGTAAACAAAGCTGAGATGTAAACTTCACGTTATGCCTTTTCCACGAAACGTGATCATTTAGATTGTTAAAATATAATTTTAACAAGTGCAAAAGATATTTGCAATTGTCAAACATAGGTAACTAATTAATTTTATTTTTACTTCCAATCTGTTGCAGTAGTGTAAATTTTCTTTTTTTTTTACGTAAACTATCGAATCGAAAAGTACAAAGTTAATTATTATAGGACGAAACCGGATAACAAAATTTGAAT